ATGCTGCCTGGCTACAGACCATATTGTTCCAACCTCCCTTGCAGTTAGGTTTGGACATATGTGCAATTTCTGGGTTGTCACTTTAAGACATGTCTCTAAGCCTGGCCGGTGTGACTCAGTTGGTTGGAGTGTCGTCTCGTACACTGAAAGGTGGTAGGTTTGATTCCTGGTCAGGGCATATGCCCAATTTGTGGGTTTGATTCCTGATCGGGGTGCATATGGGAGGCAGCCAATGGATGTTTCTCTTGCACATTGATGTTTCCCTCTTTCTCTCTCTCTCCCTAAAATCAATGAAGTAAAAAAAAAGACATGTCTCTAAAAAAAGGGAACCCTAATGCACTGTTGGTAGGATTGTAAATTGGTGCAGCCACTATGGACTACAGTATGGAGATTTATCAAAAAATTAAAAAAACCCTGCCATATGACCCAGCAATTCCACTTCTGGGTATTTATCTGATAAAATCCCAAACACTAATTTGAAAAGACATATGTACCCCTATGTTCATTACAGCATTATTTTCAATAGCCAAGATGTGAAAGCAACACAAATACTCATCAATAGATGATTAGGTAAAGAAGATGTAGTACATATATACAATGGAATATAACTCAGCCATATAAAGAATGGAATCTTCCCATTTGCGACAGCATGGATGAACCCACAACGTATTATTATAAGTGAAATAAGCTAGGCAGAGAAAAACGAACGTCATATGATTTCACTTATATGTGAAATTTAACGAATAAAATACCTGGCCAGGTAGCTCAGTTGGTTAGAGCATCATCTCAGTATGTCAAGGTTACAGGTTTGATCCTTGGTCAGGGCACATACAAGATCAACCAATGAATGCATAAATAAGTGGAACAGCAAATCTCTCTCAAATCATTTAAAAGTTTAATAAAAAATAAAATAAACAAACAAACAAAACAGAAACAAACTCATAGAAACAGAGAACATTTTGATGGTTGACAGAGGGGAGGGAGTTTGGGAATGGGTGAAAAAGGGGAAGGAATTAAGACGTGCAAATTGCCAGTTATAGAAATAGTCACAGG